TATACTTGGTACAAGAGTTTCCATCTAACGAGAAAAACTGTTATGTTCCGCAAAAAACGCTCCTTTGGGAGCCAAAAAATGTAAATCTGGGGCGGATTAAGGGTTCCAAACCCTCTCCCTACGTCATCATCAGACCTGCGCCTTTTTTTTTAAATGTCTATCTCACCCACTTATTCATGCAACGACATGTTCGCATGTTTATACTCAGTGTGGAATATTTATAATTTGGTCTTGAAAAAATTCTCAGCTTAATTAGGCTAAAGCGTAAAAGAGTTGGCGCTTTATGCATCAAAATTTTTAAGATCCACTCCAACATGATGCAATACGACGACAACAATTTGGTAACATACAATTACTATTGCTTTTATATATATATTTCGCTGGTTTAGGTTTCATGATTTTTTTTATTATTTCACCGTTCTTTTTCTGTGCACTCTAAATTTTTAAAGTCTATTATTACCTTTACCTTACTACTTTACTTCCTACGTTGAAACGCATTTAATGAAATGTACTTGTCTCCGGGGCTGACATGACCAATTTTGGGTTAGAGTTAACCCTAGACCCTTTGCAATTTTATTATAAGGTCAAGAAAATGTTAACTGTCGTTTGTATATCAGCTTTTAATTTTCGTAGGCGTTGTGAGAATTGTAAGCCTTAAAGCCAATAAGCCCCCCACGGAAGATGGGAAGGGGGATGGTGGAGGGCCTTGAAGAGCGAGGTGGAGTAGTATAGGGCGTCTCCATAGGGAGCAAAGGGATGCCGCCATCAATTAACATAAATAACAAAGGATTCAAGATGGCCTCTAAGTCCCATAGGGAGGATTCAAGATGGCGTCTAAGTCCCTTAGGGAGGATTCAAGATGGCGTCGGAGACGTCATCGAAGATGACATCATTCAAGATGGCGGTGTAATATATTCATAATATGAGGGTGTAGGTGGGGTAAAAATTAGTTCACAGCCTCCCTTAGGGGAATGTAACGTGTACTTGTATGTTCATGTTACACATACGACATCATGATGAGATATATATATATATATGTCAAGACCTCACTTCCCATCCATGTGGGAGATGTTACAACACTTTACGCATGCGCAGTGTGAGATGTCTGTCAGAGACTTTACGCATGCGCAGTGTAAGATTTTGTCTGAAAAAGGTGGCTGTTCGGGGCTGCCTGAAGCTGCCCAAGGCTGCCCTAACCTCTAGGGGATTACATGAAGGCTGCCCAAGGCTGCCCTAACCTCGAGGGGATTAAATGAAGGCTGTCCGAGGCTGCCTTAATCTCTAGAGAACTAAAATGAATTCACAAGATGCGATGTATGTCAGAGTGACCGTGTTGAATGCACATGTCTAAAAGGGGCAAGAAGACACGAAGCCGTCGCGTGTTAAAAGTGCGTCGCCTTAAGCGCAAGATTCGTCAGCAAGCATCGAAACATGCACAAGATGTGGAAAGGTATCAGAGAGAAATTCAGGAGTTGAAATTACGGGAGAGACATCATGACATTATATTCCACGATGCCTTGCGATACATTTACCACCCCTATGGAAATGAACGATGTATTTACTATACTAACTGGGATAAAGAAATAGCAGACGGCTTTTTTTCTGCATTTCATGAGTTAGATTATAGATAAGACAACCCACATGTAAAATCTAATGCAAAGTTTATTATTATACAAATGAAGTACGATAAAAATGAAAAATGTTATCACTGTTTCTGTTGGGAATGGTAGCTAACCATGTACAATTCTCTAGATGTGGTGGTACCTCTTGAAAGGGTACAAAATTGAAACAGATAATGTTCATGACATTATAAACGTAATTAACATTCATAAAAAAAAGTCAAATTGGTTTAAAAGGACCAAAATTTCATCCTCAGGATCTTGATTATCTAAAAAGGTACATAGCGTAAATAGAAAGTTGTAGTAATCCATAAAGGGATACTCATTCTGAAAAAAGTTGAAAAAATTTAGCGTTACAAAAAGGATGATTGAGGAATACAATCAAGAAAAAAAAAATGTATGACATTATGAGTATCTCTGTGGTAATTGGTAGTTAACCATATATAATCCTCTAATATAGGTGGCGCTACATCTTCATCATACTCGACGAAACCAAAACTTATTAAGGGTATAATATTATAAATATGGGTGACAATCATAAAAAACCTAAACTGATTAAAAAGGACACAAATTTCATCTTGGATATCATGCCACCATAATAATGAGTTTAATGTTTCAAAAAAATCCACAATGTCTTCCAATGGAAATTCAGTCTAAAAATAAATTGTATGAAAATTAATTTAATGGTTCAATTTAAGAAAGGGAAACACCATATAAATGTATGGGAAAAACTGGCCAAAAAAGTAAGTTTGAAGGTGGTAACTATAAAACAGAAAATAAACCAACTTGCATGAATAAATTGCTATGACAGTACACTCGGTCTAAGCGTCTTGTTTCCAAGATACCTGCATGTATTCCTAATCTATGTCTAATGATCGTGTTTTCTAAGACAACATCAAAAAGAAATTGATAAAAAAAAGTGCGAGGAGATAGATGATGGGCTTGAAAAAAACTCGTTTGAAATTCCCTACAAAAAGATACTTTAATTACATAATATTCAAACGCTACGCAAAAGTGTAGTAACAAAACGATACCGCTACGTTTTGTTGGACCATTTCATTGATGATGTTGAGTATACCGAATGATCGAAATACACCAATCACAGATGGCGTCGTTTTAGAATTTACCAATCACCACGCGGGAAATCCAACTGATCAAATAACACCAAATTTCTTTGATGACCTTGAGTATACCGACGGATCGAAATGCACCAATCACAGATGGCGTCGTTTTAGAATTCACCAATCACCATGCGGGAAAACAAACCAATCAAATGACACCAAATTTCTTTGATGACCTTGAGTATACCGACGGATCGAAATGCACCAATCACAGATGGCGTCGTTTTAGAATTCACCAATCACCATGCGGGAAAACAGACCAATCAAATGACACAAAATTTAGTATATAAGTCGCGCACTCTTATCTTAAAAGTTGCAGTAGTTAAGTGATAAAATCTTATACACAGACTGAAGAAGAGGAAAGTGACAAGAATACTAAAGACTGAGTGAAGATGGCGCAACAAGAAAAGAAAACGTTGGAGGTCAGTATGATAGTGTTAAAACAAGACTGTCGCGGCAGGCAAGCAGCATTTTTAATACGTTACAAATGTTTTACGTTTTTAAACCTACCGCCTATATCTGTCCCGAGTGCCGAGACGACATGATCGACTATGAGAGCATTCTCGAAGCGCTAACCAAACAGAAAATACATCGCACTCAAGTTTTTTTGCAGCTCTTAAAACTGGTTAAAAAAGAAAACTTAAAAACCGCGACGGAATTAGTGAAGGAGTACATGAAAAACCCTGAGGATTTTTAACCGTGTAAAAGTACAAACTCATGTAAATAAAATGCGAGTGAAACTTATATTTGTGTCATGTCTTGTTAATTGTAGAATTATTTGATGATGGCAAAAAGAAAGAATGATGATGTGGAGGAAGAGGATAGTGTCTCGGATTACCTATTAAATCAACATTATGATGAACTTGAAAAACAACAGTATGGCGGGGAAATATCTGACGATCAACTCAATGAATTGTATGATCAATTGGACCGACAACAATTGGATGCCCTCAATATAGGCTTGGGTGTGGAACAATCAGGTGGCGCTCTCTTTAACTTTGAATTTCAAAATGCTGGATTCCCAAAAAATTGGAAAAAGACAGCGGATAAACAAAGATATGAGGCCACCCTCAAGCAGACACGAACTCCATCCCAAGACGACAATATCGGAAAAGAAATTACAAATGCGTTAGCGAGGTAAGAGTTTAAAAAGTGTGTTGAAAAAAAGTTTCAGGTGGATACACTCTTATCGAAATTTATTTTGGGTTATTTTTTTAGATCGATACGGAAACAAATTCAGCAAAAGAAATGTTCATCTCATGACGCGTTCCATTTCACATTACAATCGAATCAATTCGCCCACGCCCAACAATCAGCCACATTCAAAAAGTAGAAGAAATCATGAAGAATTCAGAACGCTTTGAAAATTACATGACTACTATGGCTAATAAATTGAATTCAGGAGAATCGTTTAAATCCTCTTCTAAGTTTACCGCCGACCTTACCTTTATTCGAATGCCTAAAGGTGGTAAAAGTGGTAGACAAAAAGTTCTATTGGGAAAGCGATCCATGGCAGAAGTTTTGAAAAAGAAACATTCCGTGATTCAAATTACAAATTCAGACGAATTGTGTTGTGCAAGAGCCATCTGTGTCGCAAAAGCATGGATCCATAAAGATGAGGGGATCGACAGAAAATCGATTACGAGAATGCAAGAAAATGTGAGACTGTTCGATCACGAATGGCCTATCAACTCCATGAAGATGCGGGCGTACCTTTGGGGGCATGCGGGCACCAAGAATTGAAAAAATTTCAAGACTTCCTAGCACCAGACTACCAATTGAAAGTCATGGCAACTTCCTACCCCTACATGATGGTATTTGTAGGCCCAGAAGCACCGCATATTATCCGCCTCTTGCTCCAGAAACACGATGACTCTGAGACTGGTCACTATGACACTTGCACATCTTACGCTGGTTTTCTAGAACGATCCTATTTTTGCGATCAGTGCAACAAGGGATTTGATCATAATGACTTCAGACATCATCCATGTGAGGGTCGAAGATGTCATGCATGCAAACAAGTAGAATGTGGCGCAAAACCTGATTATGCCTTGCGTGAAGTACCCTGTTCTTCTTGTTGCCGAAAGTTTTACAGTCAGACGTGTTATGACATGCATAAAGAGAAAAAGATCTGCGACAGCCTTGTTCAATGCCCTATGTGTCGTAAGGAGTTTCAAACCTCAGCGTCAAAAGAACCTCACCAATGCTACTTTGACAAATGCTCCGTATGCCATGAATATGTAAAACTTACAGAACACAAATGCTTTATTCAACCTGTGGCAGCCAAAGAAGATCAAAGAAAGAAAAAAAAAAAGCAAAAGCAACCCTGAAACGCCATAGAAAAAAAAATCCCTTGGCCTCGGTGTATGAAGAACCTCCCATCTTCGTCTACGCTGATTTTGAATCTATGATAGCGGAAGATAACACACACATCCCCGTATTGGTCTGCGCCCTCACCTCTGAAGATGATACCTTCGAAACCTACTACGGGGAGAATTGCACGGCCGACTTTCTGAACTTTCTCACCCAGCTCACCGAGGACAAATATGGCGACCCACGCGAGGTGATATGCATTTTCCATAATTTAAAGGGGTACGATTCTATGTTTCTACAGCATCAGTTGGTAAAGGAAGAAAGAAAGATCAAGGACATCATCGCCATAGGCACTAAATGGTTATCCTTCAAAGTGGGTCAAATCACATTCAAAGATTCGTTCAGCTTCCTCCCGATGTCACTCTCAGCCTTTACCAGTACCTTTGGTCTCACGGAACTCAAGAAAGGTTTCTTTCCTCACCTGTTCCACACACCTGACCATCAAGATTATGTGGGAGCCCTGCCAGCAGCCTCCTGTTACGACCCAGAAAGTATGTCCAATTCTAAAAAAAAAATTTCAAGTCTGGTATGAAGAACAAGTGAAAAAGCAACACCCATTTGATCTCAAGCAAGAACTCATAGCCTACTGCCAATCAGATGTCGCCCTTCTTAAAGCCGGCTGTCTTAAATTTGTGAATGAATTCCAGTCCACTTCTGGGTTTGATCCGATGGAAAAATGTGCCACGATTGCGTCAGCATGCAACAGATATTGGCGTAAAAAACATCTTTCCAAGGATACTGTGGCCGTTGAACCTGTAAGAGGATGGCGTGGGGCACAAGTCAATCAATCAGAAGTTGCATTAGAATGGTTGATGTGGCAGGAACATCAGCTTGAATCAGACAGCCCACGTATCCAACATGTTCGTAATGGTGGGGAGAAGTTGATACCCGCAGGGCCCCAGGCATACCATGTCGATGGTTTTGATAGCCACACAAACACTGTGTATGAATTTCATGGCTGTTTGTTTCACGGGTGCAGACGTTGTCATAAAGACCGCAAGAAAATGGCGTTTTCATCAGGCAGCTACACGATGGAAGCTTTGTGTCAGCAGACGGAAGACAAATGTCAGACACTCCGACAGATGGGATATAAAGTGGTTCAAATCTGGGAATGTCAATGGAAGGAGCAGAAAAAGGCCTCAAAGGAAATTCAAGATTTTCTCAAGGAAATCAATCTTGTACCACAGCTCAATCCGAGAGATGCGTTCTTTGGAGGTCGAACTGGGGCGGCGTCGCTTTATTACAAGGCCAACACAGATGAAGGCGAGCAAATCAGATACGTCGACGTCACCTCAGAATATCCCTATGTAAACAAATACGGCACCTACCCCATAGGTCACCCCGAAATATTTTTGGATCCAGACGACCAAGATCCAGCCTCCTACTTCGGTATATTGACAGTGGACATTTTACCGCCTTATAATTTATACAATCCCGTATTGCCTCTTCGACATGGAAAAAAACTGACGTTTCCATTATGTCGAAAATGCGTGGAAGATGAAAGTGCCAAACCGATGTTGGGAAGAAATTATTATTGTAGTCATGGTGTGGAGGATCGCGTGCTCACCGGTACTTGGTGTACACCCGAAATCATGAAAGCTGTCGAAAAAGGGTATCAGGTTCTTCGCATACACGAAGCATGGCATTTCCCACCAGACCAAAGAAAGCAAGGTCTGTTTGCCCCGTACGTAGACACCTGGTTGAAGATAAAACAAGAAAGTAGTGGTTACCCCAGCTGGGCACAAACGGACGCGCAAAAAGAAGATTATGTTAAAAATTACAAGGCAAGAGAAGGGATAGACCTAGACCCCCAGCACATCAAGAAAAATCCAGGAAGAAAGGCCACTGCCAAACTGATGCTGAACTCCTTTTGGGGAAAGTTTGGCGAACAAATGAACAAGATGAAAACGAAGCAAATCACAGAACCACACGAGCTGATTGATCATTTAAATGACACAACGATTGAAATATCAGACGTACGCATTTTGAGTGCTGATGTGATTGAATTGGCGTATAAGAAGATAGAAGAGGATGCAGTAAAGGGGTCCAAGACCAACATATTCATAGCAGCATTTACCACCTGTCAGGCCCGTCTTAAGCTTTATGAATCTTTGGAGGCGTTGGGCGATCGAGTCTTGTATTATGATACAGACTCGGTCATTTACACGTGGAAGCCAGGTCAAACAGAAATTCCCTTAGGTGATTACCTTGGCGATATGACCAATGAATTGGATGAAGGGGATTACATCGTGGAATTTGTGTCAGGGGTACCAAGAACTATGGGTATGCGACGAAACATGGGAAAATCGTGTGTAAAGTTCGTGGCTTTTCCCTAAACGTGCGTGGTGCCAAACAGCTTAATTATCAGGTCATGAGGCAAAATATTTTGGATGAAATTTTAGACCCGCAGGACGAAAGAAGAGACACTGACATTGTGAACCCGAGACATTTTAGGCGTGATCCCATTGCCAAGAAGATTAAGACAGAAACACAAGTCAAAAAAATATGGTTTGGTATTCGACAAGCGGGTACTTCACGTAGGAACATTTAAATCGTATCCCTACGGATACGCCCAGTTTACAGGATTCGATGCACAAGACATTTTAAACATTGAAACACTTATATGAGAGACATTCAAGCCAAGATACGTTAGCGTTTTTTTTTTCCTTTTTATTATTTTACAATGCCAAGAAGATTAAGACAGAAACACAAGTCAAAAATTTGTTTTGGTATTCGACAAGCGGGTACTTCACGTAGGAACATTTAAATCGTATCCCTACGGATATGCCCAGTTTACAGGATTCGATGCACAAGACATTTTAAACATTGAAACACTTATATGAGAGACATTCAAGCCAAGATACGTTAGCGTTTTTTTTTCCCTTTTATCATTTTACAATGCCAAGAAGATTAAGACAGAAACACAAGTCAAAAAATTTGTTTTGGTATTCGACAAGCGGGTACTTCACGTAGGAACATTTAAATCGTATCCCTACGGATACGCCCAGTTTACAGGATTCGATGCACAAGACATTTTAAACATTGAAACACTTATATGAGAGACATTCAAGCCAAGATACGTTAGCGTTTTTTTCCCTTTTTATCATTTTACAATGCCAAGAAGATTAAGACAGAAACACAAGTCAAAAAATTTGTTTTGGTATTCGACAAGCGGGTACTTCACGTAGGAACATTTAAATCGTATCCCTACGGATACGCCCAGTTTACAGGATTCGATGCACAAGACATTTTAAACATTGAAACACTTATATGAGAGACATTCAAGCCAAGACACGTTAGCGTTTTTTTCCCTTTTTATTATTTTTAAATAAAACAGTTTAAATTGTTACAAGTTAAATCACGTGTCTTTGTCATCCTTACACGCGTTTCATTCCCTCTGTGATATTATCCATCCATTTTCTAAGAAAGGCTGTTCTTTGATCGACTCTGCGAATCATTTCTTGTAGTTCCTTTTCAATATTGTCTTGCCACTCGTGACGTGAAGGACATTTGCAAGTAAGTGGATGGAATGGACATTTTCCTCCTCTGTCCTTTTCCTGGGCGGCGGCATCCATGCGTTAACGTACGCGTCTAAAATGAAGTGTGACGATAGAAGCGCCGTCTGTAAACTGAGCCAAATTATTATTTTCCGACTCACTTATCTGTGTTTCCACCACATCGATGTGATTCTTACGTAACTTGATGTAATGAATCTGCTTGGGTTCGTAATAATAATTTCCTTCCAAGATTGGTTGGTAGTGTATTTGACGTATAAGATCAGTCGTCTGATCTCCCACGCGTACTGGAGCACAAAGCGAGGAATACATATACAAGGTTCGTGGGTAAGGTAAATTTAAGTAGGTACTTCTCTTAGTATTGATAAAGGTCCAGTTCAGATCGCTAAGAAGAAATCTATGATATTTCTCCGCAAATCGGTCTTTCCATGGGATCTCATATCTGTAATACGTCAAACTGGATGTAGTAAGCCTCCTATCATAACTCCACACCGTACCACGTTTGGTCACTGTGAGATTATGCGCCGGTCGTGATACATTACGATTCTCTTCAATAGGACCACTAACAATACGACGATAACGCACTGTTGTTTTTTTTCGTCCAACCAAACAACTCACACATGTCTCGAGGTAACTCAAAATAGAGACCGTCACGAACTTCTTGATGAGTTATATCAGTCGATTTTACCTTGTCTGCTGTCACAGTAATCGTTTCTTTATCCTCGTCTGCAATCACTTCAAATTGTGCGCTGTGTCCTGAAGAAAAATGACTCCCCAACGCCGAGCCCATATTCATAATACATTTTAAACGTTCTTCATCAAACAAGGATTTGAGTAAATCGTGAACTGTCTCGATACGATGTTGTTTGATGTCTCCATACGTGACATTGTAAGTCACTTTATGTTGTATATCCCCAGTGGCTACTTTAATTCGTCCTGTGGTTAGTAAGACATCATTGTCTTTTAATCCTTTGAGGTAACTGGACACCTTAGAATCGTGTGGAAGCGAAATACTACTCAATCCCACTTCCCACTCTCCTTCTAAATCGATGCGTTTGTCTAATCGATTTTTCCAAGAATTGTTTTTGTTGTCTGGAAAATATTTCAGACTCCCATCGTTACTGGGTAACGTCAAGTAAAAAGTATTACCTGACATGATGTGCTCTCGATAACGACACAACTACGAATGAACCGGAGACACACACTGTGTTGCATTTTCACAAGTTTTATTTCATCATTGTAGAGGCGTTACAATTTTGTTTTAAGTTTAGCTTGCATGCTTCGCTTCACAATTTGCTCGGTTAAACTCTTCTTGCCTGGAAACTTATCGATTCCGGCTACCATCTTACGATCTGCAATATGTTTGTCAGCGAGTGATTTAGCTTTACTGTAATCAATATCGTGCTGTTTGGCTAATCTATCAAGACGATTAATTCCTGGATCACCACGTTTTAATCGCTTGGCTAATTTTGTACCTGGACCCATATACTGGTATCCGGGCCAATGAAACTCGACACCTAACTTTGAAATCCATTTCTGAATATCAAATTTTCCTCCTCTCTGTCGTTTCCTTTTAGCCTTAGCTTGGACGGTTCTTGCCCCTCCCTTTGCCTTTCTTCGACTTTGGCGTTTCGTCATCTTCAAACACTTGATACGGGTCGTAACCTCTCTTTTCCCAAGGTTCCCAGTTACCAAATTCTTTGAGTCGTTCCAACTCCGTGCGATGCTTTTGCGGTGTGGGAACAGGAAGTTTTCGTTTCGTTTTTTGTATCTTTTGGGATGAAGCTGTGAGAAAAGAAATCGTTCCCGGTTTCGCAGGGGTGACGGGTTCGTTCTTGATCCCCACAGGTGTGACAGGTTCCCTCTTGAGTGTCATCTGAGGTACGGCGGCTTGTCCCCTCATATTTATGGATTTAATGAGTTCTTTTAACAATCCCTCTTGCAACCCCTCCATGAGATTACCATCATCGTCTCGAGGTGGAGGTTCTAAACCACCGGCGATAGGAATCTGTCTCAATTTGTCAGTAAGCTTGCGTTCTTGCATCAACAATTCTTTTACCACAGGTTCTTTTAAAGCAGCAGGAGTAGATGTATCTTCTAATAACAGTTTTGCTTCGGCGGCCACGCGTGCGGCTTTGTCTAGAAGAGTACTTTCAGTAATTTTTCCCTTGTAATAATCTACCAAAGCTCGAAACTCATCGGGTTTCACCATTAAGAACGTCTCCATAATCGCCACAAGGGTTCCACCACACGCATACGCAACCAGCGAAACAGTTGAGTTATTGTGAGTCTACACTCGGTTGAATCCTTATAGTCACTGTCGTCGTCGTCGTAGTTGAATTGCAAATCAAACTTTATACCCGTGTCCACTTCGTTTATACCCTCTTGCACGGTGACAGTCATGATCTCTTGAAACACTGACAGAACGCGTCGTTCATACCACTCCAAAAGCTACCGCCTGTTTGATTCACAAGTAATTGACGCCGCTTTCTTAAAGAGTTCCTCCGTTTACCCAACTCTCTCAACATCACTCTATATTTCTTGAGTTTGGCAACGGTGGGCGGTGATAAAGGTATCTTTTTCTTCAACATGTTCAACGTGAATTCACTGACGGCATTGATTTGATCTTTACTAGCGTGAAGTAATTTTTCCATACGACGCTTTCTATTTTTCTCTTGTAAAATAGATTTTAAAAAATCCACATTTCTCTTGAAACTATTAATCATCGCTTTTTCTTTGTAAGAGCTTCTAGGCCTTTTTTAGCCCCAAACGATGCAGCTCCTCCAAGGGCACTTAAACCCAATGCTTTACCTCCAGCAATGAGGGCTGGAATGAGTGCCGCTAATGGTAGGATACCTCCTTTTTGTCCTCTTTTGGTTAGTCTTCTTTTCACTCTTCTTTTCACTCTTCTTCTCCTTCGGGTTGTGGACATACTGCGCTTATAACCAGGCATCTTTCTTATTTATTTCTCTCTGTAACAGCGTACACACCCTTCGTGTCGTAACAAGTGACTTAAAAGTCTCGTAGAATCTCTACTTGCAGGGTGTACGTCAAATAACAAATAACCATAGGGTCTGTCCGTACATGCATTATATATATCCATGACAGGTAGCCACTTGGTCGGGTATATCTGTAGCAGTAAGGTGCGCAACGCCACTTTATCTCTAGGATTTTTAAAGGCAATAATGTATTGCGCATTCCTAGAGATGGTCTTGGCATATTTTCCTTGAGGGAACATGTCTTGGCAGAGATAACACACGGTGACATTCATGTGGTGAGAATATTGTGTGAAAAGATTAAGTATTTCTCTGTCATCTCCTCCCTCCGACATGAGATCATCCAAGACAAGAATACCCCCTCGTTTATCTCCAAACCATGTTGTTAAATCGTCGTGGGTAGGCACTCCTTTAAAAATTCTATGCCATGGCGTTGCATGTCGTCAAACTTATTTTGCCAGGATCCATAACAGTAATGCACGCGGGGCGGTCTTTCGTCAAAGAGGTCTAAATTTTCCAAAAGTAGGTGATGGAGAAAGGTGGTTTTTCCACAACTTGTAGGGCCCACAATCAAAATATTGGAAGGGGATTTGAACAAAAATCCTGGTTCCACACACTTGAACATGATTGCTAAAAGCGAGTTACACAAAAAAATGACACGATTTTATTTCATTCCTTTTATTTTATTAACGATTGAATGATATCTTCTAAAATGTCGCCTACTTTATCATCGTTGCCTACATAATCCTTTTTAGAAAACATGGAAAAAAACTCATCCATACTCTTGCGTCTTGCTTTACACATTAAATAAATGATGGCATAGTTTCCACAACTTGCGGTTTTTACAGATTGTAATGCTCGAGTATTTTTACGCACGTAAGGCCATCGGTTTAACCATACAATGAATGGTGTCAGAAATTCATAGGTGGTTAAATCTAAACCATAACTATCTAAAATTTCACAGCTATCGTGTTCGGTCCACACAGCTATCCAGTGTTCCCCAGGTTTGTCTGCAGGGTGGGTATTGACAATGTAAGCTCTCGGTTTCACACGTTCAGGCGACTCGGGTAGTTCGTCACAGGCTATAAGCACTCACAAAGTACTTGCGGAGTTCTGGATCGCTATCCGCTAAAGCGTTGAGTTGATTCGTAGTAAGCCACACAAACTCCATCACTAATGCACTTCCATCGTGGTAGCTCCTTTAATGCCATCAATTTCCATAATGCTTTCATATTCAGCATAAACGATCACCGTTTTCTGACTTGCTTGCCCTGCACATTTAATGTGAATGTTGATGAAGCCTTCATTTTTAGGTAGAAGAACCGGGTCATCGTGTCTTCCATTGGCCACATTGGAAAACGCAAACAGCGTGCAATTTTTTCCATGACCCCAGTCTTTGAATCGCACCATGTTTCCTGCATTTCTGTACAGACAGCCAGTAGCATCCAGAAATCGGTGATAACCCACCAAGTCTTTTTGACCATTAGCCGTGTTGAGTTCCAAAGTCTCGTATGGGTATTCTTCTCCATTCACAATTTGTTTGATGTATTCCACCCCAAATTTTCCAAAGGCCAAGGGGTCTTCGTTGTATTGACCATTGAATGCAGTAGTTTTCAGAATACCAATGATGACTCTTTTTGGGGCACCTTTCCATTGAATGGGTTGTTGATTTCTTTAGAAGTGGCCCCATTGTCTAAGGGAAACTGTCTCATCTCGGTACGGATCATGGGATACTTGGTTGGGGTTTTGGTCATCATACTCATCATGCTCATGTAGACGGCTGGATTTAGGGACACCAGACATAGAAAGAAGGTAAGTTTAATATCCTCTGGGTTGACTCGGACTTCCTCACTGGGTGGATTGGCTTCTCCATTCATGAATAAAGCTGCTGGATTCAGATAAAATTCCAATTCCAAAAGAGTTTTGGGGACGATCCATTTTCCTTGGTGAAACGCGTCTATAAACGGTTTCATTCTCAAGATTCTCCTCTTTCCTCCTGCATAGTATTCTGTTGCATCTGCCCTCTGTCTCTTGATGCTTTCTTGATGATTTATGGAAAGAGCTGTATACGCGTCATCATCCATCTTGACATTTGCAGCGGTGTAGGTTACAGGAGAATCAATTTCGTTCCGCCATCCAGCTGGTTCGAGTATCGTCTCTCCATCATTCCTGTCATAATTAAGGATCGTCTGTATGAAAGCTTTAAGATGGTACATGTCTACTTGTTCGGTGAGTAAGGTACCATTGGCTCTGAAATTGATTTGCTTGAAGAGGGTGTGTGCAATATTGTTGGCTGGTGAAGTCATCACACCCACATTGTTTGCGCGTGCTGTGAGACTGGCATTTTCTGTGGTTTTGAAACCCAAATCCAGTTGGACAAAACTTCTCGAAAGATCGATGAGATCTGATTGTCGTTCCACGTACACTTGGATAGGAGTAATACTAGATGTCTGAGGTGGTATTTTGACATATCGGTACTTTACCGTAGAAAGATCTGTAGGTGGTATTCTAAAGAGATCTAGACTTGAATTCTGCTCTGCCCTTTGATAGACATGGTGATGTGTCTGTTTCAACGTCTTCTGCGTTTATGCACACGTTGTCGTGTTCCTATTTTCTTTATACGACTTGTGAGAAATCCTCCTCGTTGCTGTTGTTTTCTTCTTTTCCTTTATACCTTTTTAAGATGGAAGACACAGGATCTGTCAGTGATGTTGTGCCTACACCAATGATAGGATCACTTTGACGTACGGTGCTGATGCGGACCATGTTTTATTCTCCAAAAATATCGTTCAACCTCTTGGCAACTTTTCTCTTCAATTCGTTCTTGAGCGCTTGGGAAGCCCCTCTCTTTATACCTCGCGGCACTTCTGATAACGAACGCTTTTTGACACTGCTTTTAAGGCCTCCTGTTACACCTTTCAAAAAATCTTTAGCCATGTCTTTGACTCCGGCACCTATTTGAGGATCACCCCAGGATCCGATAAAAGGTGGTGGGGCATAAGGTGAGGAGGTCTGCCAGCGCATGAGACCACCTCCTCCTTGTTCATTTGGCACATACACTTTAAAGCGTCTCAAACTTCCTCCTCTCATGATGCGATCACCACAAACACACAATTCACTTTAAATATTTTTTATTAATCCAACTGTTATATTTGCTAGGGTACCCTTTCCACTTGACAAACAATTTATCCTTTTGTCTCTTTAATACTTTTTCCACTCGAAAATAAGTCGCTTCATCTACATGTACTTTTTGCAAATCCCACACATAAAATGTGCCTTGTAAGGGCGTGTCATCCAATTCTTGCACTTTATAGGTCGTTACCATTCCGGGTACGACTTTACGAACTTGAAACACTTCTTCCGTCCATCCTGGTAGATACCCTTTCTTAAACGGTCTAAATTTTTTATTCAATCGGACTTTATCGCCTACTTTAAATGCAGGCTTTTTTTCTTTCTTAGTCTGATATTTCCCATACAAATTGTTCCACACTTCTTTGGCATTGAATGTGGTGACTTTAGCTGGTGTTGTTTTAATACTCCTGTGATAGGTGCGATTGTATTGATTGACAAGTTTGGGCAATATGTCTACATATTTGAGTGTGTTGGCAGCCGTGAAATAGCGATACAATTTCTATTTAAGGGTTCTATTAAATCGTTCGACGATACTGGCTTTGGCATCTCCATGAGTAGAAAAGTGATGAATCTCCTGTGTTTTCATCAATGATTGAAAGGTCTGATTGTAAAATTCTTTGCCTGCATCTGTCTGTAACGTCTGAGGTTTCCTTCCTTTGGCTTCCTTTGAGTATTTTTTGCAAACGCATCCGTCACATCTTTTCCTGTTTTCATTTTAATCGGGCGGGCCCACGCGTATTTGGAAAAGGCATCGATCACGACCAATACGTATCGGTATCCCTTGTTCTGTTTGGATAGGGTCTGTACTTCGATCAAATCTGCTACCCATTGTTGATCAATGTCGAACACCACCACAGGTAAAAATTCTCCTCGTCGACGTCTGGGTTTGTGAAGCGTGTACGCCAATTTTTTCTCTAATTCTTTTTTACCTTGAGCAATAGAGATCTTTTGAGCTTTGGCATACGGTGCCACATCACCCAAACTACCGACGATACCGGGTTCGTCATACAAGTCGTCCTTGACATCTTTCTTAATGTTCTTAACCATGATAAATGACACCAAAGTTTGAAAGAATGGTAGGTGACCCAATACTTATGAAGGTACTGCGTATACAAATGATTCCACGTCTTATATGTATACTTCCCATCATAGTATCTCATAAACGTCATCAAATGAAAGATACGGTCGTGTAGTGGATGTAGGTGCGGTTTCACGACAAACTTAAACACCTCAACTTCCATGTCTTCGGGAACCCATTGGTAAGGGATTTTATGCGGCTCATCCTCTTCGAAGACGATATGAGGGATGCGATCACAAAGCCACGACACCACTCGATAATGCAAGTAGCATAGCCATTGACTCCACGAGGTAAGCATGATGAACTCGTGATTTTTTTTCATCGCCGACCCTTTTTATAATGCTTGACATTATCCATAATGCCTTTTTTAAAGCCTGTTTTCCCAGAAGTTTACCAAGTGTTCCAAAACCTGGTGCAGGACCCGATAACAACATACTTGCTGCGTAAAGCTAATTTATCGGTAAGAGAGGGACCTCTACGAAGAATTTTCTTAACCCTACTCACAGAAGCACCCCCACGTTGATTGCGTTTTCTTCTTTTAATCAGTCACCGTCTTCCACGCCTCATGATTGACACAGACAAATGACACAATGTTTTTGGTGATACAACTTTTATTTATTTATCCATATTATCTTCTAAAAACTGTACATCACAAGCAATACATTCTAAGTCTTTATCCGACAATCCTAAGCGTCTAGCTAATTTCCTAAACTTAGGCATACCGATCAACCAAGCGATTTCAACATGATCGTCCGTAGACAATGTATCTAGCTTTGTGTTTCTACCCATCAACCGTGCGATTTCAAGATGGTCTGTACTTATCCCATCTACAAAAAATTAACAAAACTTGGAATTACAATTAAAAAACATGTGTATTTTTACATCTGGTGAAAGAAAAGTTTGAATGTACACTATGCCTAAAAAATTAATACATTTGACTCTCATTACTTTCTTTAAAGTAAAGGAAAAAGGGCTTCTAATAAATCAGCAAATGTCATCTTGACATCTAGTCCTGAAATGAATCATTCACATCCATCCGTAAGAATTTGCACTGACCTCTTGTTGGGTTTAAATCGCCACCAGGTAAAAAGATCACAGTTATGTCGACTACATCGCAAATACATTTTGCCATAATTTGTTTCTGATTGAGTCAAAGACAATGTGGGAGTCATTCCACATTCGCACACCATCTTGTCGATTCTGTCCAGGGTGAACCAGGGGTGACCCTGTCTTTGACATTCATAGTAATAACGGTTGTAATCACTGAGATTACAAAATACTGGGCAACGGGCGGACGAGCAACGTAGGAATACATCGTCACAATCTTCTTTTTTAGATTTCAATACGTCCATCATGCTCTGGTGGATCGGACATGGATAACTGACTTCCACACTGTCCAGTAACTCATCCAAGGAGGAATACTGATACGTACCTGTACCAGAATCCTGTGGAATCTCGCCTTCTTCTAGCACTTCTACTTCGGTCTTCTCTGTCGGCGATTCTGTCTTGATAGTTTCTACCAGTTTGTTCAACTCTTTCAATGGCGGCTTTGACTTGGCAGGCTTTGATTTGGGAGGAATACGGTGTTCTGGTTTCATATAATCCACAGCTATTCGTGGCTCATTCACATCAAACTTGGGTGGTTCTCCTCCAAAATTGTCATGCATCGGTGTATCAGGAACGTTATCTTTACCTCGGAAATCAGGATCAAACATAGGCAGCGCATCAATGAAAATAGTACCCTTCAACTTATTCTTGGCTTCTGTTTTCTTCTTGTTTTTTTTTTGACATAAGGATGATTCTTCTTGGTATTTGACGACATCTTGTTCCTTGCTTGCTTGCTTGCTTGCTCACCACTCTACGAGAAAGAATAGTGAGTTCCTTAAAATCTGCTCTACTTTTATACATCTTAGATCTCTTGTTTTTGAATTCTACCTACTCATTGGTTACAAACTGTAGAACTTTGATCCTGCATGATTTAGCAAAATCTTCTCATTGGCTACAACCTGTAAATATTTTTTTTAGTTCTCTAGAGATTAAGGCAGCCTCGGACAGCCTTCATTTAATCCCCTCGAGGTTAGGGCAGCCTTGGGCAGCCTTCATGTAATCCCCTAGAGGTTAGGGCAGCCTTGGGCAGCTTCAGGCAGCCCCGAACAGCCATCTTTTTCAGACAAAATCTTACACTGCGCATGCGTAAAGTCTCTGACAGACATCTCACACTGCGCATGCGTAACGTGTTGTAACATCTCCCACATGGATGGGAAGTGAGGTCTTGACATACATATATATCTCATCATGATGTCGTATGTGTAACATGAACATACAAGTACACGTTACGGAGGCCGTGAACCAATTTTTACCCCACCTACACCCTCATATTATGAATATATTACACCGCCATCTTGAATGATGTCATTTTCTGATGACGTCTCTGCCGCCATCTTGAATCCTCCCTAAGGGACTTAGACGCCATCTTGAATCCTCCCTATGGGACTTAGAGGCCATCTTGATTCCTTTGTTATTTATGTTAATTGATGGCGGCATCCCTTTGCTCCCTATGGAGACGCCCTATACTACTAGGTGGCATTTTAAGAATTCCCAAAGCACTTCAACGCGCACTTTTCTAATGCTCAGGGTTAGGGTTAGCACAATGCACACGGTATAGGGAATGTTCTTCTTTAATTGAAAACTCACGAATTTTAAAGCAGATAGGTGTATTGCTATCGAAACAAACTTTATCATAGGACCCACACAGTTTCCAATGCACTTTTGTTGAAAAACACTTTATTACCAAGCTAGAACGTCAATAGTCCTATAGCTGTGCATACGGCACCGTGAGATACGGAATGGATGAAAAAAGACAGACATGTGATACACTGTTTATGAATGGGTTAAGAGTCGAATTGATCGGCAAAACATTTTGCTTCAGGAAACGAGGTTATCTGGGATGAGCAGGGAGTTTGGCCTACTAGACAATAGTAACCCTAAGGGGGTTTATTACAAGGAAGCAAGCTTTAAAAGCCCTTATGATATTTCAAATCACTGGAGTGCTCAAAAGGAGGCTCTCTGTGGTCGAGACCAACTAACCCTTTTAAAGTAAAAAGTAAGAAAATTACCGAAAAATATAGAGCAACGAGTGTAAAGCAGTCAACAAATGTGTTTAATCTTTAATAGGGAATAAACTTACGAAACAGATAAAAAAGAAAACTAGCCTAAAGTTATTGGAAAATAGACCATCTCCTTTAAAGTTAAATGATTCAATTAGCTAGATTTTTCTTGAAAAAACCAGTAGCAGATAATTGACTAATTTTTGCAGTACAAATTGATACTTTCTGTTATCTCTTTTTTTGTTGTTAATCAAGTTCTTTACCCAATTTCAAATCAGCAGATAAAAAATCATTTTTCAACTTAAAAAAAATTCACAGACGCATTTTTTCGATACTTGATTGAAAGCGGAAACCAATTAATCTTCAGTGTCCACTGAACTTTTAATTAATCTTGAAATCACTTCACTCTATTATAATTTTAACAAACAAAGAAATCAACCGACAATCAACTAATTCTTCAAATGACCAAATCAAAACCCCACATCAATCGACTCGAATTTCTTGTCAAAGTGAAATGACGTCATCACAGTAATGGTAAATTGAGCAGCCTGAACCTGATTCACAACACTCTGTGTATTCTGTTAATAACCCTTTAGTCGAGGTTATCGCTAGTATCAGCTGAGCTGTCAAATCAATTAAAAAAGAATCAAAATGTTCCAAGCTCTCGGATCGAAAAAATACCTTATATTCTTTTACATTATTTCCAGCAAACTCAAAACAACCGAAACTCCTTCACTATTTCTTACTATATGACATAATAAGTAGATGCTAGTGTAATAATTTTACTTGTTTCGCCATTCAAAGTCTTGTAAGAAAATCACCGTCGTTGTTGCTTTAAGACCGTGCAATTTACTTCCAAAGAGGAGAATAGTTGGGCGAGTAAGGACTTTTGATCAAGCCCTTAGAGGTCAAATGGAACGCTCCCTAAACGCGCTGTATGGTGGATTCTCTTCCCATCTGTAGCTCAGCTTGTTGTAATGATAAACTTTCCATCAAACGCTCCAACGCTGTTCTATTTATAACCCAGTATTACAAATTATGCCATGAATCACTGGCGACCCAGTGATAGTCTTGTTTCTTTCCAAAGGTCAGGTGGTGTCTCGGGAAAACTAGATCTTGTGAGAAAAAAATACCTGTAAAACAAAGTTGCGTTTCATTTTAATACTCTGCATTAAAAATAATAAATTCAATGATCATACCATTAAGTTACATTTATTCATTAATTTATTTATGAATCAATTTATTTACATATTTATTTATCTTCTTATTTATTCATTATTTCTTTATTTCCTTAAAAATTCAATTAAGAAATAATCACTGTTATTATTAGTTGAGTTATATTTTATTTCTTTATTTCATCTTTTATTGATCAATTATTTTTGTTTATTTTTAAGTTATTAGGTATATTTTTATTAAGGTATAATTTAAAAAGAACTGTCTACGACAGTGCAAGTAGATGCTTTTCATTGTGTTGGTGTGACAACTGAAGGCAAGCCTGGACTGAACTACATTTAAATTGGACTTAAATG